CTGTGACAGCCACAGGCCAAAGAACAGGGGGCCCAATCAAGCCGGAATCTAGACTGGAAGCTTTGTGAGTGTTGAAATGATGTCTTTTTCATTGTTTTATCTCCAGCATTCATTCAGCACAGAAACTCTCTTCTATAAATGTTCGTTGAGACAACGAACGAACAAATGAGGGTGTAAAACCATACAGACTTTTTTCATAGAGTATGGAGCTGCAACGGCATATTGAGCTTATAATTCATTAAATTAGTCCATCTCTGGGCAATATAACAAGCCTCATGGTAGCATAAATTGTAATGTTCTCCACTCATTCACTGTAAGAATTAGGTTTTTGCACTGTGGTTAGGCATAAAAACCAATAATATAGATTTATCAGAGTATTTAGAGAATGGTACAATCTATTTCATCTCAACATAGAGAAGATATGATTAATAAAAGTGTCTCTCAATTAAAAAATACCTTCTACAAGAAAAGTATCTTAAACCAATCATTTATACCAATGATTTATAGACATGGTTCTCAAAATGTTTTCATTTCTAACCTCAATCTACCTTTTTGTCCTTATGTCTATTCTAAGAATAGAATTTCAATCTGCTTACAAGCAGGGAAGTAATAAACCATTTACAAGGTAGTTCTGTCTCCATATACAGTGACCAGTAGCTGTAAAATTGCTCTTCATATGCTGAGGCTGAGAATGTGGCAGTCAGATTAAGGTGATCCTAAATTGTTTTATCTAAATAGCATCTACCAGTTTTTAGGAAATAGAAAAATGTTACTTACCACTGGGAATTACTATGAGTTGAGTCCCTTCTGCAAATATCTTGCTCCAACCTGAACTAACACACTGGTTACAGCTCCTACAAAAATCTCACCATGCTCTTAAGCTTCATGACGTGACCAGCATTGAAAAAAAAAAGTCAATTTGATCTTTAAGGAAGTCCTTACACACAGGCTTTGTGGCATCCATAAGTTTCTTCCGTTGAATTGAACCAGATGTCTGCTTTCCATGAAGGCACTAATCATTGAAAAAGACTGATAGAAAATGAAAAGAATAAGAGCAGAAAAAGAAGAGATCAAGTTCAACTGGTCAGCCAACTACTTCTCTAAATGACCAGGAAACGTATTCAGAGAATGAAGGCTTTCGCATTTCCAGGTGTTTGATTGTGTGAAGCTGCTCAGAGGTTGCATGAAAGGGAAGTCCGTTCCTTCTGCTCTCACACCCACCAGGGCTGCCCCTCTAGCAGTTGCGAATGTGTCTCTGAAAGGAGGAAAAGGCTTCAGTCACTGAAAATGCAAATCCACCAACACAAATACACCTGAGAAATGTGAACAAAATTCTCCATTTTTTAATGAAGCCGCTTTTATTATTTGACAGTGATTCTTCACCAGGCAATGTAGAGTAAGAAACTAATTTCTTTCATGACATTCCTTTTCCTGGAGTAAAAGAATAAGTTTATAGAATTCTAGCTCCTATGAAATAGGTTTCTTATTTAAACTAACATTTAAGAGCGAAATCTAGCTGTGGCTGGTTTTCCTCAGTGGATAGAGCGTAGGTTCGCAGACTGAAGGGTCCTGGGTTCAATTCTGGTCAAGGGCACATACTTTGGTTATAGGCTCAATTCCAGGCAACTAATCGATGTGTCTCTCTCACATCGATGTTTCTCTCTCTCTGTCTCTCCCTCTTCCCTTCCACTCTCTAAAAATCAATGGAAAAAAATCCCCCTCAGATGAGGATTAACAGATAAACAAACAAATCTAGTTCAATGATATGTTGAAAGAAGAACCCTCTTTGGAGTTGTCCTATACTCTCATGCCACTTGCCTTGGATCAGGGGAAAAAATCGTCAGAAGCAGCTGAGTGCTTCTCTGAGTACAGCTGAGTTGTCTTTCTGCCAGGTCCCACAGATGACTCCCTTGTGCATGTTGGCTCCAAGTCGAGGCCTAAATCCCATAAGCAAACACTGTCTCTGAGCCCGAGAATGAAACTATGAGGTGGTCATTGGTGGGCCAAATGTCTATTCACAGTACCCAACACATTGAGAGAGGGTCAACAATAAAACAAAAACAACAGAAAAATAAAATTATGTTGTAAAAAGTGTGTTTTTTTTAACTAAGTATGCCAAGTTATTATAACTGAGAACGGTCAAAATACCTTTTGCATCAGTTGTAGGTGTAAATGATACTCACTCAGTTCCTTTCTAATAGCTTGTCCTCTTTTTTTCCCTTATTCCAAAACTATGAGCAAAATTATGTGGAGCTTTAATAGTTGTCTATATTTCATGATCCAGGAAGAATTTGTGATTAAATAAATACAAAAGAGTAAGTAAAGAGTTACAAAATCTTTTATTAAATTTATAAGAAAATATGAGAACTATATGAAGAAAACAGTAAAAGATTTTACTAAAGGACATAAAATAAAACCTGAATAAATGATAGATACACCATATTTATGAAGATAAAACTCAATGTCATAAATATGCTAATCCTTCTTAAATTCATATATATATAAATTGACTGCATTATCAATCAAAATTATGAAAACATTTTATTTTTTGTTCTATGGTATAGAGTTGGATGTGTGCAAGATAACTTAGTTTAAATGTTAATATTAAGAATAAGAGATAATTAAAAAATAACTTTTTGAAAAATATTAGTGAATTGACATTTGGCATAATAGATCTTAACATTTATTACAAAGCTACTTATATAATAATGGTGTAAGAATAATAAAACAAAATAAAACATAAATCCTTCAGGAAATCCTCTAAATATATGCCAATATGAATATGTGATATGGAATTTTTAAATATGATAGATAATTTAAAAATTGACTTCGCTATTAGTGATTTTCTATGAAAGCAAAAATAGCTCTCTATCTCATAAAATAGGTCCCAAGTATATTAATATTTATTGATTAATTTATTTTATTATTGACACCATTACAGATGTCCTCATCCCCCACACTTACCCACCTCCATCCAAACCCCTCTCCACTTCCCTTTAGCCCTCACCACACAATTGTCTGTGTCTATGGGTTATGCATATATGTTCTTTGGTTAATTCTTTCACTTTCTTTCATGTAGTTCCCCTCCCCCACCACTCCCACTTCTACCTCCACTGGGAGCTATCATTCTGTTCCATGTATTCATGCCACTGTTTCTATTTTGTTCATTAGCTTATTTTGTTCATTAGATACCATATATAAGTGAGATCACCTGTCTTTCTCTGACTGGTTCATGTTACTTAGTATAACAGTCTCTCCAGGTCCATCCATGATGTCGCAAGAGGAAAGATTTCCTTCTTTTTTATGACTGCCTGGTATTCCACTGTGTAAATGTACCACTGTGTTTGTTTGTTTTTAATCCACTCATCTATGACAGACACTTGGGCTCTTCCAGACCTTGGAAATTGTATATAATGTGGCAATGAACATAGGGCTGTATAGATACTTTCCAAATGGTGTGTCAGTATTCTTAAGCTACATTGTCAGAACTAGGATTGCTGTGACAAAAAGGAGTTCAGTGATTAAAATTTTGAGAAAACTCCATATGGTTTTCCGCAGTGGCTGCACAAATCTGCATTCCCCCAATACTACATGAGAGCTCCCTTTTCTCCACACCCTTGCCAGCATTTGTTGTTTGTTGATTTATTAATAGTAGCCATTTTTAGAATTGGTGATAATATAAGAGACATTATGAACAACTATATGCTGGTTACCCAACATGTGTAAGCTACAGGAAAAGTAGTTTTTAAACTTGTGTTAAGTTAGAGAGAAAGGAGTGGGAGTGCTCTGCATTGGACCTAAGAGTTTTGGTTGGACACTCTGTCTGGGCAGCCAATTCTAGTCTCAGGTGGTGCCTCATGGGGTTGGTTGGTTGGGTTTGTGACTTACTTTCTGGCCCAGGATCACCTGTGTCTTTTGTTTTTTGTTTTTTCAGATCTCATATTATGAAAATGCCTAACGAATACATAGGTTTCCTCATTTATTTTCCTCTCATTACCAGAGGAAACGAAATATGTGAAAAAAATAAGAAACACCAGCTGCTTAACAAAATATTCTTGCCATGTGTTCATTGACACAACACACTTTTGTCCTTTACTGAGAAAGGAACGTTTGGGGAGAAAAAAATACTACAAATAGGGGATTGGGATAGGGAAGTGAGATTGGATTCAATAATTTTGTTCTGGATACTTATTAGACATCCAAGGAGAAAAATTTTCAGCTGCAATGTAAGAGGATAGCTTGTTGTTACTACTGTTGTTATTATTTTCAAGGTGTGGCTGTTGACACCTTGTGTATGAAAATGACCTGCGTTACTCTAACAATGAGGATAGCAAGTCAGGGCTATCAAATTGGGAACCAAGGGCATGGCCATGAACTTAGGATAGGTGTCAGGCCTCAGAGTGAAAAGCAGGGAATTTGAACCTTGGTTCAACATGTTATTCTATAACTGGTGAAGATTTACAAATACACTAATGACAAACCAAGCTCCACTTCCCACATACCCATATATTTGATGTGCACACCAGGGAGACTTCCTAATTATTGGGAATTTCAGAGCTAATAAGAAACGAAGGAGAGTAAGTAACCAAGGGGGAAAAAGCATGGAGACAGAGGGAGTTTGGAGTCTGTCTCCTGCTGACGTTATCCTTTTCAAACAGTGTGAAGTCACATACTTGGCCTTCATGTCAGACCTTTCCACGTTCTGGGGAGGTCACTTATGAAGGCCTGGTACAGTTGTTAAGGCTTCCTTTGGAAAGAAATACGATTTTGCTAAAAGAAGTTCAACACTGACCATAAGAGAGGCAGGAAAGACCCTTCACTGAACATATGAAAGTGGAGCCCTGGCTCTCTGGTTAACTAGTGCTGGACAAGTTGCTTGCCCTCTGTGAGCAGCCCCAGCTTCCTCAGTCCAAGTGGGCTTTGTGCTGTCTCAGTCGTTTGTGAACTTACGAGTAGGAGCATTAAACAGTCTGATGTGGTTACTCAGGTGTGACAGGTCCTCAGCTGAGGACCAGTAATAGAGAAGGTTTTCTTACAGGTCCCTGGTGACTCTGTGACATAGTGGGATCCCAGCAGGCACAGTAGTAGATGGCTTCATCGGACTTGACGACATTATTGATTATCAGGTTAAAGGTGCCGTCCTTCCTATATGTCTCCATGCGGGGATTGAGCTTGTTGTCCTTGCTGTTCTTGGTGGAGCCATAAAGGATTCGTCTCAAGGGCTCCCCTTTTTTTTGTTGATACCAGTGCACAATGGCATTCTCCAGGGGAATCCCGGACAGCTTGCAGCTTATGTGCACAGTTCTATTTGGTCTTCGGATAAAGGAGAGTTGATCTTGGGATAGTCTCACTTTGGTGTCTCCATCTGAAAAGCAAGGGAGAGAATTCAAAGCACTTGAAAAGTGTTTTTTACCATGCCGGAGATAAAAACAATGAAAAGATAAGAAAGTTGGAAAGTTAACCTACAAACCCAAGCCATAGACACAAGGAAAAGCCACAGGGTTGGCATTGCCAGTAACTGGTCAGATTGGACACTCGGAGGGGTGTGAATCAGGACTGTAGATGCAATGACAATCCTTGTTCTGCGGAGACAGGCACGGCCGAGGAAGGTTTGCTTTGGAACCCTCGAAAGTTCTTCTCGGTACGATCTGTCACCGTGTTATTTTATCGTGTTCCTGGTATAAAGGAACTATCAGGTCCCGGAAGACCACATCACAGCACCTGTTTTGTAATAAGTCAATGATAACTTCCTCTTGAGAGCAATTGCCTGCCATTTTTTCCTTAAAGTCTTGTTTCAAATACATCTATTCTGGAGCTCAGTTATAGATTTTCACCATATTTTGTGACTGTGGGTAGCTTTGTGTGGCTAGCATGAGAATGGGAAGGACATGATCATTACATAATAATAAACTAAAGGGATAATATTCCCACAACTTCATGCAAAAATATGTACATTTTATAGATTAATAGTTTGACAAATATTAACAATTACTGTAGATATTACTTTAAATACATGATATTACTATACTCTGCTGTGAATGAAGAAAGTTGCTGAAGTGAAAAATATCCCCTTGTTTAGTTTCCTTTCAACTCTTTTCCTACTCACAATTTTTAGCCTTTCAGAATTAAAGCTACACTTTGTTGTTTGGGGGACAATGTAAGATGTCATTTCTAATGAGGTCCTGAGATGGCTCAGTGAAGTGTTTTAGTGATAATGTGAAATAACATTGTGATTTGATGAACACAGTGTAAAACCTTCATGTATGAAAACTCAGTCAGTCCTCAGCAACCTTATGAGGTGTTGACACTATGCCTACTTAAAACTGGGAAAACAGAATGAACCTGATTCAGTAACTTTCCTGGATCATAAGAGCCTGTCTGTAAGACTTGAGCAGAAATTTGAAGCCAACGTCTATATGTCAGTCAAAAGACCTTGTATCTTCTAGCATTCATTCATTCATTCATTCATTCATCCTTTCATTCATTCATTGTCACAGGATTGTGGCTTCCTTTCCAGGAAGCTTCCATAGTTGGTGAAGCAGTGACAATTCAGGTCACTTTAGAAAAGCCAGTGCAGGCCCAGAGAGGTGGGGATAGGTTATAGTGACATTACTGAGAGAAGCATCCCAAAGTGGTCCTTGGGCTCTAGCTCCGACCTTGCTCAGACCCAAGTGCAGGAGAAAGTCCTCAGTGGACAGCAGTTCGGTCCCTCTGGGAGGTGGGAAAGAGGACGTGTGTGTCTGTACTGATGGGGCAGCCTGGGGGTTTTTGTTCAGCGACAGTGGCGTTTCTAGGCAGTGTGTTCCATCCATCCAGCTGGCACAGAAATACAGTCCAGCATCTGCCTCCTCAACTGCGTGTATCCTGAGGCTCACCAGCAAATTACTGTGATGCTTTCTTGCTTCATATCTTTCCTCACTAATACCTGGCTCATGGATAACATTGCCATCTGAGGAAATACACAGAATTCGTTTGAGTGTCTGGTCTTGCTTCTGTCGGTACCAATGTGTGTATGAATTCTTCTTTAAGATCCCTCTTATTTGGCATTCAAGAAATGCTGTCCTTCCTTTTATCTTGGTAATGGAAGTGAGGGCTTGTGTTAGTTGAATGTCTCCACCTGTGTCTGAAAGAAAAAAAAAGCAAACATTAGTGAGATTTTTTTTTTTTGGCATTTATTAAAATAGTATACATTTGTTCTCTGGTAATGATAATCTTGGGACCTTGCAGTTTCTAATTTCTCCCTCTCCCCCCTGAAGAATTCAAGGTATGGTGGAAGCTTAGTTTGAATGACCGTGTGGCTTTCTTCCACCTGAGCAGGCTGTTAGACTGTCCAGGCTTTCTAATGCCTCCCTTCGAATGAGTAAGTTGCCCGCTGGGTCAGGTCACTCACAAGTCCAAAGGCAGGCTGCCAGGATGATCTGGGACAGGAGCAGCATCCTGCCCGTCCTTGTTAGCTGAGGCCCTTGAATAATGGAATTGTCACAGAGCCACCCCAAGGGCTATTTAGTAAGAGGAAGTGGAGCTCTGAACACATAGCTTAAACCCATAAACCGCAGGAAAAGGGGCTCGTGGTATTTCCCCGAAACATCCTGTGGAAACAGGCCTGTTAACTGATTTAGCAGCAGAGTGCTGTCATTACTGTGTGATTGTTACCATCTGATGATATCAGTATAAAGAAGCCACCTTTCTGTTATAGGACTAAAGTCTTTCACGGGCCCCAAATGGAGAGGTGGAGAAGGAGTGAGGAAGGAAGGAGGGAGAGAGGTAGAAAAGAATATTTTTGTGGGGTTGTTAGTATACCCTATTATTTGTGGTTCCCAAGTGTTCTCTCTCTCCCACTGGTCTGTACTCAGCTCTTGTTATCTGATTACCAATTTAAAGTTTGATCTTCTGACTAGATTAATTGGTGTTTGACAGCATCTGTCCCAGGTGAGCACTCAGCTCCTGTTTCTTCCTGCAAGTGTCTGTCTGTCTCCAAATTTTGAGTAAGTCACTTGCCCTGCAACCGAGTTCTTTGAAGGGTTAAGCAAAGTCATTAACTTTCAGGAAGTCCCTGTTTTATGTTATATCTGAGCACATGCTGGTCCTCCTTCCCTTTTTAAAAATTGCATTGCTTTTTAAATTGAGTTGTGAAAGTTCTTTGTCTATTTTGGACACCATTCATTTTTTTAAATATGTGTTTTGAGACTATTTTTTTTTTTTTCCTAATCTGTGGCTTCTCTTTCTATTTTCTTAGCAGTCTTTAAAAAAAAAAAAAAGATCAGAAATGTTAATGTTGATGAACGTGCAATATGTTAAATGTTTCTTTGTTTTTCCTGTCCTAAGAAATCTTTGTCTAAACTGTGTCACCATGGGTTTCTCCTGGATTTCCATCTAGAAGTTTTATTGGTTCCAGTTTTACATTTAGCCCTGTGATCCATTTTGAGATAACTTTTATTTATGGTGTTTGGTATGGATTAAGTTTGTGGTTGATTTTTACATAGATGAACAAATGTTCCAGTACTATTCGTTTAAAAGCATGTCATTCTTGTATTTGTTAAAAACCAGTTAACCACGATGTGTGGGCCTATTTATGGGTAGTTTTTACTTGTGTTCCTCTCGATGTATCTGTCCTTTCACCAACACCCACTGTTTTGATCACTGTAGCTTAATAGTATGTCTAAGATTTTAATGTTTTAAAAATTGTTTTGACTATTCAATGTCCTTTGTCTCCCCATATATATTTTACTCTCAGTTTCTTGATTTCCACAAAAAGTCTTCCAAAGATTTTGATTGGGATTACATTAAATATTTTTTATCAATTTGGGGAAAGTTTGACATCTTTAATATATTGAGTCTTCCAATCCATGAACATGGCATTTATAAAGCAGTTCTCCATTTATAAAGCAGTTCTTCAACTGCTTTGAAGATTTTAGCATATAAATCCTTTACATTTTTGGTTAAATTAATCTCTAAGTATTATATAGGTTGTAGTTGCTCTGGTAAACAGTACTATTTTTTTTAATTTAAATTTCCAATTTTTAATGTCAGTACAGCTGATTGTTGAAGAACACAGATTTGAACTTCATAGGTCCAACTATATGTGGATTTCCCCCCCCAATAAATTCAGATGGCTCTCCATATCGGTGGGTTTTATATCTATAGAGTCAACCACTGGCTGGTCAAAAACACCATATTTCAACTCAGGGTTGGAAGTTCATGAATGCAGAGGGCCGACTGCATGCACTGTTTCTTTAAATAAGAAACTTGAGTTCTACAGATTTTGGTATTTTGGTATTTGCAGAAGTTCTTGGAACCAATGCCCCATGGATACTGAGTGCTGACTATAATTTAGTTTATGGGGAGTCAAAAGTTATTTACAGATTTTTGATTGTATAAGTAATCTTCCTTCCTTTGGAGGAAGCGGGTCAGTGGCCCTAGTTCCCATGTTATTCAAGGGTTAACTAATATACAATTACAATTAATTTGCATCTCTCATTCTATTTTACAGCTATATATGCTCCATTATGCATGTGCCATCAATTTTTTTAACCAATTTCCTATGGTTTCATATTTACGTAATTTCTAATATTTTGCAGTTACACAATGACTAACTTCAAACATATGTATTTTAATTTTGTTGAAAGTTAAATCTGCAGGGCAATTTTTTTTTTTTGCTAGGTGAACAGGTAAATATATAATTTTTTTTTTACATAGTCACAAATTCCCCTACAAAATGGTTATATTTTTCATTTTTATCAGCAGTGTACAGTGGCTATTTTTCCCCATTACTTACCTGACAAAGTATATTAACAAACTTTTAAATTCTTGCCAATCCATGGGTGAGAAATTACATATCTACGCAGTGTTCATTTGCATTTATCTTATTAGAAGTAAAGTTGAGCATCTTTTTATATGCTTAAGAAAACTTTTATATTGCTCTTCATGAATTGGCTTTTTATATCTTTTGCATTTTTCCATAGAATATTCTTAAACTTTTTTTCTTTATTTTTATATCAGACATAGCAGGCCTTTATCTGCTAAAGAGATTGCAAATATTGTCTGTAGATTGTGATTTGTCTTTTGATTTAACTTATGTTGCTTTTTACCATGCAACTTTTGCTTTCATTTTCCTATAGTAAGAGTTATCAATAGTTTCTCTTATTGCACCTTGAATTTGAGTTACAAATTGATTCCCTAAACCCATGTTGCACAGTAGATGGTCAGATGGTCAGATAAATATTTCTGGCTTTGTGAACCTCTGCCACTGTAGCTCAAAAGCAGTTTGTACATGTGTAGGTGTGACTATATTCCAGGAATGCCAGATACTCTATTAGAAAATGTCCTTGAAGAAAGAGTTTATTTTAAAAAATTTATCCCTAATATTTCCCAAAAAAGAAAATAATAAGTTATTTGTCTTATATTTTGCTATTGTTTTATATTTTGAAAGTCAAACAAGCCATGGTGTTTATATTTATTGTAGGAAGAAAACACTTAAATTCAGACTCAGCTTTGAATAGTAATTACTTG